TGCAAATAAAGTTTTATTGGAACATAGTTACACTGACACATTCACCAACTATGCTGCTTTTGCACTGTGGAAGTGTTGAGTAAGTTTCATCAAAGATTTTTCATTTAGCCCTTTAAGAAAAGATTTGCCAACCGCTGTGGTAGACTATAAGCATTAAACCGAAGCTACAAGGTGGTGCTAGTCTTCACCAGGTCCTCAGCTCCCAGCAAGACCTGGTCCTTTGATGGGTAAAGTACTCTTGATACCTACACAAGTGCTTCATACAGATTATCTTATTGAATTTTATGTTTACCAAGGTGAACTATCTTAGCTCCATTTTGCAGACAAGGAAACTGAGGCACGGAGAGATGAAGTCCCTAGCCACAAGCTCAGAAGTGGCAGAAGTTGAGCTCAGACTCTAGCAATAAGCTTCCAGAAGCCAAGCTCAGAGCCATAATCCCTTCCTGCCTTTCTCAGAGGCTCTGAATGAATGAGTTCAGTTTCTTTCCTCCAAAAGAAGTCCATCTAGGGGCTGTACTTTGCTAGCCACTGTGCCTCAACTTTCTGCTCCTGGACCTGGCTGTTTGCTGTGTGAGGTGGGCCAGTTACGTGGAGACTCTGAGATTCAGTGAGCTCAGCTAAAAACAGGACAACAGATCATTATGCACCTCCTGGGTTATTGAGAAGATTCCAAAGCACAGAGGCTCATGCAATTGAGGTTGTCTGCTAAGCCTCTGCTCTGGAAACCCCGTGCTCGGACACAGGGAGGAATGAGCCAGACCTGGGCCCAACCCTCAAGGAGCACAGGCCCTGGTGTGTTCTTGGTGTGTGAGGCACATGGCTCAGGATCAACCCCAGAAAGCTACCAGTGGAGGGCCTCTTTTACGACTTCCAGGCAGGTACACCCAGGAGCCCACTGAGTAGCCAAGCATTAGCAACATAACCTGGGTTGGGGCCCCGTGTGGCCACCTATCTGACCCCACTCTGGAACTCAGGATCCTCCCTTAATGGACAGGAGCAGGACATGTGGCAGGCAGGGTCTAGGTCCTGTTCCTGAGCTCAATCACTCACCAATGCGCTCGATCCTCGTCACATCACGGATCTCTGGGACTTTGGTTGTGGCCGCCTGGGGGTGTAGGAAGTTGTTAGGAAGGAAACTTATAGTCCCAGCTTTCTTCAGCTCCTCCTCTGTCCCTCCCTCCTGCCTCCCAGCAGAAACACCCCTTTGTTCCTTTACCTCATAGATAGGCATCAGACCAAACACCAGTCATTCTCACCCTTGAGCTGTCACCAACCAGTAGGTGACTGACCCCACCTACACTGTTGAGTCCAAGAAGACAAGGACTGTCTGTCTCATTCACAGCTCTGTTCTCAGGGCCTATTATACATTCGGACCCCAGGAATTATCTGATGAATGAATGAAGTCGTCTCCATCCCCACTAATCATGCAGACGCCAGTGCAGAGCAGGCTCAGAGCTGGAGGTGATCTGGCCCCAGCTGACTGACCAGCACCCCTGTCCCATGATGTCCCAGCTCTCTGCCATCAGACTTTGCACATGCTGGTTCTCAGTCCAGCCGCCTATTCTCTCCCCCTACCTCCCATTGAATAAGATCAAGTATTACCCTCTAAGGGATGCCCTTCCTGACGACTGCCATTGCTGGACTAGTTTAAGGGCCTCTGGGTGCTCAGAAAGATGAAAGGACCTTGCTTGGGAATCCAATCACCCACTCACCCTATGTAAGCTCTCACTCATGAGGAAGACTCTTGGATCAATGTTTTAGACTCCACTGGATGTGAGTCCATGAAGGGCAGAGCCCACACCTCTCCTGTTCACCTCAGGCCTCAATGTTTGTGGCCTGAAGTATACCTCATTGAGCTCATGTAAAACCATGTATGATGGGCTGGGAAATAGCTCAGTGGCAAGAACACTTGCCCAGCACACATGAGGCCCCTGAGTTTAATCCCCAGCACTGCAAACAAAAAACAAAACAAACAAAAAAGAAAAACATGAGGCCTCCTGTGTCTCCAGTTTGAGAAACCAGCACCATCCTTTCTCATTCGGGGTGACATGGCTCACCCGGGACAATTCAAGACTCCCTGGAGAGCCACACAAAAAAACGTACATGAATGCTCATGGTAGCATTATTCACAACAGCCAAAAGGCAGACAGAATCCAAATGTCCGTCAACTAATGAATGAAAAAAATATGGTCTACCCACAACAGAATACTATTCATTTATAAACAGGAACGATGTTTCAATACCTGCTATGATATTGATGAATTCTGAAAATACGTTAAATGAATGAAGTTCCCACAGAAAAGACCACATGTCGTAGTCAGAATAGGCAAATCCATAGAGTAGATCAGTGGTTTCCTAGGGCCAGCGTGGGAGGTACAAGAAGATCAGAGGGTGCTCAGAAAGAAGTAAGGGGTTCTTATTTAGAATGACGAAAATGTTCTAAAATTGATTGTGGAGATGGTTGCACAATTCTATCAATACACTAAAAGCCACAGCATAGTCTACTCCAAATGTGTGAATTGTATGCTATATGAACTATATCTCAATAAAGATGTTTAAAAAAAAGAAACTCAGGTGGTAGACCCATGATTGTCTGTTATATTATTTTCTGACACTTAAGGCTATTTCATAATTTCCAATAAGGAAAAGGAAGACTAAGTAGCCAGCATCCAACCCAGCCTGTCAGCACCTGCCCCAACTCCTTCCTTTCCACAGCTCTTTCTTCTCTTTTCCCACCAGAGAAGGCAGACAGACATTATCTAGAGGAAGCTTCCTCTCTCAGGAACCCTGGGTTGAGGCTTCCTGACCACATGGTCATAAGCCTTCTTCCTTGCTACGTGATCTTTCCTACCTACTTTCTCCTCTAGCAGGTTGCAACCCAGGAGCATGAGACACACTCCCTATCCTCTCCCCAAGCTCCTACCAGAAGCCTGGGAACACCCCTCACCCAAACACACAGATCCTTTATGGGGGTTGTGAGGGGAAGACATGGATCTAGGAATGCTAAACTTTGCTGTCCTGATATAAACAGACCTCTTGAGAGAACCTGCTCCCTACAAGGTCTTTTCCTTTCACTATAAGCTTCTATACCCTGCTGCCTGCTGGCCCCAGTGGGATCCAAGATCATTTAGAAACTCAGGACTAGAATTGGGTGTGTTGGCGCATGTTTGTAATCCCAGTGACTCGGGAGGCTGAAGTTGTAGGTCCAAAAGTTTGAGACCAGCCTGGGCAACTTACTTCTCAAAATAAATAAAAAGGGCTGGGGATGTTGCTTTAGAGGTAGAAAAACCTCTGGGTTCAATCCCTGATACCAAAAAAAGGACTCAATCCCCAGCACTACACACACACACACACACACACACACACACACACACACACACACTAAAAAAAAAAAAAAAAGCCTAGTACCAAAACAAATACAATCACCAGTACTGGGCTAGGGTGTAGTTCAGAGGTAGAATACTTACCCAACAGGCCCTGGCTTTGATCCCAAGAATGCCCCCCAACACATACACACATGAAACTAACTCAGTAATCACCATCCAGTATTTCATCCGCAGGATTTCACTGTCCTTTCCTTCTTCCCTATGGACCTTCTCCTCCTTGCCATAGTAACAGCAACACACTTAACACACTCCCCTGCCCTTCCTTAATCTTGATTGGGGGTCACCACAGGAACTGAGGCATCTGGAAGCCAAGCCTAACCCCCAAGTTCAAGCCGTATTATTTCATCACTCAGTTGTTTCTGGAGCACATGCCAGGTCTCAGCTCCTTGGGGTTCACATGTTCACCAAAACATTCCAGTAACAGTTTATTGAGCATTCACACAGAAACAAGTCCTGTATGACTTGCTGGAAAACAGCCAAAACGGTTCCATGGAAAGATCTCAACCTCTGGGATCTTCCCCACGGACACACTTTTGGATCTCAACACTCGACCTGCCAATGACCCGCTGAATGAGTTCATGCTCACAAGGACATAGGACAGGTCCTCTTCTGCTCGTCCCCCTCCGAACACAAGGGCCACTCGCACCACAAATGGATTGGAACCCAAGATAACACAACCCTCAGCAGACACCGGGGCAAGAGACTGCAGAACCGGCCCTGATTGTGCCCAGAGGATCCTGGGAATTGGAGTTCCCACACGATGGGGGTCAGATCTGAGATTAAGTGTATCCCAACCTATTCTTTTCTCACTCCTTCAGACCCAGGAGCTTGAGAACTCGGCTGCTTCCTCCCTCTGACCCAGGGGTCCAGGCCCAGTCCTCCTCCCTCAGACGGAGTCCCAGAATCCAGACTCCAGCCCACCTCCCTCAGACCCGGGGGTCCAGGCCCAGCCCTCCTCCCTCAGACCAGGGTTCCGGGCCTCCCTGAGACTCGAGAGTGTGGGTTCGTGTCTCCCCTCTTCCACGCGCCAACACTTACCACGGTTGCCATGATGCTCACCAACCGCTACTGCCTTAGCGGAAACGGAAACGTGATCGGAGCGAGGGGTTTGGACGCTCTAGGCTAGCAAGTCCTCCAAAGGTCTCGATGGTTCCTCTTAAGTAAGTAAACTCCGCTCGGAGGGCGGGACGGCACTGTCAGGGCCCGCCCATCAAGCGAGGCTGAACCGTAAGCCGGGTGTCCGGAACTCCGGGGTCCCTCCCAACATCTCCTTGCTCCGCCTCCTCTACCCACCCACTTCTTGCAGAGGCCGATTGCAAAATTCTTCACACCGCTTTTAGCAACCACACGTCCTCCACGCTCCGGTTCCTCTTTATCCCACCCTTTTCCTCCCCACTTTAGGGCCTCCAGCTTCAGATTGACAGATCTAAAAGCCAATCGTTTCCGTTCAGCGCAGCGACAAGCCCCTCCCCATGGAGCTCGCATCCACAGTTACAGCAGTGGAGGCGCTGAACGAACCTGATCCGCTCCACCAATCAGGAGACGCGGAAGCCCCCGCCCCCCGGGTGCGGGCCAATGGCGCTGACTGGGGGCGGGCACCGCCTCCTGGTGGCCGCAAGGTTTCACTGCAGGGCCACCACTAAGCTCAGTGACGCCGCGACCGCCTCCTGCCCAGGTCAGAACGCTGCCGGGCGGGGGTGCGGTCGTGCAATAGGAAGCTGGACGCGTTGCAAGCTTCCCGTCCGACACCCGCTACCCGGCCCCTCACTCTACCTAGTGCATTCCCTGGACACCTCCGGGGTCCCACCTGTGGTCCTCTGAGACCCCTTCTGGGCCAGCCATGCCTCTAAGTCGCACTTTGTCCATGTCCTCACTGCCAGGACTGGAGGATTGGGAGGATGAGTTCGACCTGGAGAACACGGTGCTCTTCGAGGTGGCCTGGGAGGTGGCCAACAAGGGTGAGCACATCAGGCTTCCGGGCCCTTGACTAGAAGGGCGATTGGGGATGGGGGCCCGAAACTCTGACTTGGGGGGGGGGCAGAACTACATGGGGGACTCTTGGGTTCTGGGCAAGGCGCCTATGACTCCTGTGTCCTTGGGGAGGGGCTGGAGTATGTCTCCTAGGCCCAGCGAGAGAAAGTGAAGAGAGACTTAAGATGGAAGGAGGCTTCCAGGTCCTAACTGTGTCTCAGAGGAGAAGGCACTAAAATGAAAGCTTCCTGTATCTGGAGGAAGGCTTCCCAAAGACCAGAGATCTGGGTCCTGAACAGGGAAGGAGTGGCTGGGGGGATGGGACTTCTGCATGCAAACCTGGGGAGCAGCTAGATTTCAGACCCATGGCCTTGGAGAAAGTGTTCTCTGGGTATAATTCTGGATTGGAGAGAGAGCCACTAGGAGATAGGATGCATGGTTTGTTGTGGGAGCATCTGGGAACCTGGCCACTTGAGAATAAAGATGGGCAGGGGTTGGAGACCCTAATTCTTAGGTGCTAAGGTGGGAGGGAGTTAGGGGCCTGAATACCTGGGCTTTGAAAGAATCTGGGGCCTGATACATGGGTTCCTAGGAGTAGTGGAACCCATGGCCTTGGACACATGCGTACTGGGATGGGGAAGGCTGGAAGTCCTAAGTTGGTCAGGGGCTGGGCTCTAGGATGGGAGTGGCTGGGAGCCTGCTTTTCTCTGTCCTTGGCTTCCAAGAGCCTGAGCTTCTACCTTGGGAGAAAGCTGAGGCTGGAATCTCCAGAAGCTAGGCAGTCTCAGTTTCACTCCTCAGAAGAGTGGGGTCTGAGGTTTGCTTTGCTGGGGCTTGGAGAAAAAGGGACAGGGCCTCCCAGCATGAGAGGGGGCTTATGGACATAGATCCATGTATTGGTAGGGCCTGGGCTCCAGGAGGTGAGGATGCCCCTAGGGGGCCCAGACTCCTGGGTTTGCGATGGGATCATGAGGACCAGCTGCATGCCTATGTCCCCAGTCAGGGAGGAGGGACTGGGAGACAGATCTGCAGGGCTCTTGGGGGATAGGGAATGAAAGTTCAGGCTTCTCTTAAGTAACTGGAAAGGTGAATAGGGTAATGAAAAAGGGTTCTTCCCACTGTGTCTTGAAGCTGACCAAGAATCTAAACCCAGCTCCTGAAAGCCAGGAGCCCACAAACTTGGGTCCCAGTGATTCTCAGCCTCTGCCATCCTCAAGCTCCTAGACCCTAATTCCCTCAGACCCAGGAGTCTAGCTCAAGGCCCCTCCTCCTCAGTGTCCTGATCCCAGCACCCTTCTCCTTAGACCCAGGAGGACTACCCTCTCGCCCCCTTTCCCCTTGATCCAAGCCTCCAACCCTTATTCCCTCTCCTCTGACTCCAAAGTATGGGCTCCCAGACCCCTCTTGCTCTGAGCTGGAGATCTGGGGTCCCACCCCCACCCCAGGTCCCAGACCTATAGACCACAGCTGGGGCCTGCCCTCATGCACTTGGGCCCACAGTGGGGGGCATCTACACGGTGCTCCAGACGAAGGCGAAGGTGACAGGGGATGAGTGGGGCGACAACTACTACCTGGTGGGACCGTACACGGAGCAGGGTGTGAGGACCCAGGTGGAGCTGCTGGAGCCCCCAACCCCGGCCCTGAAGAGGACGCTGGACTCCATGAACAGCAAGGGCTGCAAGGTGGGACATGGCATGGCTGAGGGCAGGAGCCCAGGGCCCTCCCCCAGGGTATAAGCAGAGGATGGAGAAGGAAGGGGCAGGGAGTGGAGAGCGGGAGGCACGGACAGCCAGGCTGATAGGCAGATCAGGATCCCGTGAAGTCCAAGCTGGTGGATCGAGGGTGTTGGTGAATGGATAGACAGATCAATTCAATAAGCCAAGATCCAACAGACCAGATAGAGAAAGAAAGCTAGACAGAAATTCAGCCAGAGGGAGCCCAGGGGAGGTCAGTTTGGGCTAAGGCAAGTGTGCTGGAGCAAGAACCTGGAAGTTGAAGTTCAAAGTCAGCCTCTGCTTGCTGCCTGGTGTGACCTTTGCTAATGAATGTGCTAATAGCATCTACCTTGTAGGGGTGCTGGGAGGGTGAAAAGTTAATAACCATAATGTCTTTGGCATGGTTCCTGCATGAAGGTGGCCCTCTGGTATGAACTATTATCATCATTATAACCACCACTGCCATCATCGTGACTTATAAATAGCCAACCTGGACAGCGAGGTAGACAGGCCGACAAGGGAGAGAGAGGTACACCTTCTAGGTATAGGAGAGAGGCTGCTGGATGCTTCAGAGAGAAAGATAGAATATTGATTAAGAAAGGAGAGGCAGGCAGATAGACCCAGGGGGCAGAGTCTGAGATGAGTAAATCCAGAGACTAAAGAGAGAGCGGGGAAGTTCCAGGGCCCTAAGTTGAAGACCAAAAGCAAGGCGGCTTCCATTCAGAAGCCCGTGAGGCAGCTGTCAGAAGGGACAGACAGGCGGGAGGCTGGGAGGCAGAGGTACAGTGGTTCCTCCACTCTTTAGTCTCTGTTTGGGGTGGGGTCTGGAGCCCAGTCAGGCAGGATTGTGTCCCTAAAGGACCCCAGCACAGCCCAGTCCCTCCTCCAGGGTAGTTGCTCCTAAGAATAGCCCCCCCAGCAAAAGGGCAGACAACAGCTGGGAGGAGGAGGGGCGTCCCAGGGAGGCTCCTGGCAGGGAAAAGCCAGGTTGGCGTTGTTGGGGGAGGATGATTCCTCATCCACTGGCTGGAGGTGTGGCAGCAGGCCCAGAACCAAGGCCACGGTCTCAAGAAAAATGTGGAAGGGCTGAAATGAGACAGCAAGACTCAGAAACATGGAGTGGGTAGAAAAATTCAGCCTTGGGGCAGAGAAAGAGGACAGGCAGGGCTAGAAATGTGGCTGCAGACTACAAAGTGGGCCTGTGGACAGAGAGAAGAAGTAATAGGTGGCAAATATATGGTGAAAGGGACAGAAACAAGGCAGGGAGGTGGGGTGGAGGTGGCGACAAGAACAGTAAGCAAAGCTTCCAGTGGAAGGAAGTAGTCACAGACAGAAGACAATGGGAGAAAGCACCAGGGTGATTGGTAAGAGAAATGTGGCAGCAGACCCCGAAACAAGGTGGCAGGTAGAGGAAACAAGGCAGCGGGGGCAGAGTCCTGAAGTGAAAGGAGGGAGTGGGGTGGGAGAATGGTAGCAGTTACAGAATCTAACCAAGGGTCCAGGAAATTTTGGAACAGAGGTGGCAAAAGAGTATGGTGGAAATAATTCACAGCAAACAGAAATAAGGCAACGAACGGGTGAGAAGTCAGCAGCAAATACAAAGGATGAGAGAACTGGGCTTGTGCCAGCAGATAGAAGAACTGCAAAAGCCCTGAGCTTTCCTGTACCCCATCCCAGGTGTATTTTGGACGCTGGCTGATCGAGGGGGGGCCCCTGGTGGTGCTCCTGGACGTGGGGGCCTCAGCTTGGGCCCTGGAACGCTGGAAGGGAGAGCTCTGGGACACCTGCAACATCGGGGTGCCCTGGTATGACCGCGAGGCCAATGATGCGGTCCTCTTTGGCTTCCTCACTACCTGGTTCCTGGGTGAGGTAGGCCCCACTACTGACCCCGGCTCATGCGGTTCCACCCACGCCCAAAACTACAATGACCATCAGCCCCTGGGCAGAGAATTGGCTTCTCCAGAGGCATTCTGGGAATTGTAGGGTTTGGGGTGTGTTTGTTTGTTTGTTTGTTTGTTTGTTTTGTAGTGCTGGGGATTGAACCCAGGGCCTTGTACATACAAGGCAAGCACTCTACCAACTGAACTGTATCCCCAACCCCTGTAGGTTCTTGAATCTAAGAATTAACTTTGACCTGTGGGGACATAGACATCCAGGGGCCCAGCCTCTTTCCTCAGAGACCCAAATTGCCAATCCTAGCGGCATTTACTCCCGTTTTCTCAGTAAGGGCTGGCCCTTAGGAGTTCTGGGAGTTGTAGTTCTCTAATCCAGTACTGTCAAAACTGAAGTACTCAGATGAGGACCTGGATGCTTATGGCTCCCCAGCCCACCTAAGAACCAGTAATCCTGGTTCTGTCTCCTGTCTAGTATTAAAAGCCTTAAGAAACTCAATTTCCCATGCCCAGGGACAAATAATTTAGGATCTGCCTACCTAAGGCATTCTGAGAGTTATAATCCTTTTGTTACTGTTGGGTGCTCATCCTTGATTGAGATAAGGGGTCTCCAGGAGTTGTGCCTAGAACTTGGAACACTAGAACTTTATTCTTCCTAATTCAGCCTTGTCAACCTTATAAACTGGCAAAAAAAAAAAAAAAAGGAAAAAGAAAAAAGAAAAAAAAAAACCCAGCCCCCATCAGTCTCTGGGGGATGAGGCCAGCTGGTCTGACTGCCTTGAAGCTTGTAATTCCTTGTCCTGTAGGGATTGCAACCCACTCTGTGCGGTAGTGGTACTGGAGTTACCTTTCCCTTGCTTTTTTGTCCACGTTGGGAACTGCCAACTCCTTTCGTGATATACACAGAGACACAGTGACCCTATCCCTCTTGCCCCACAGTTCCTGGCCCAGAATGAGGAGAAGCCACATGTGGTTGCCCACTTCCATGAGTGGTTGGCAGGCATTGGGCTCTGCCTGTGTCGTGCCCGGCGGCTGCCCGTAGCCACCATCTTCACCACCCATGCCACTCTGCTGGGGCGCTACCTGTGTGCTGGTGCTGTGGACTTCTACAACAACCTGGAGAATGTGAGCTGGGGGTGTGACAGCAGGTGGGGACTGCAGGTATCTCAGGATGGCCCGAAGCTCTAAGAAGCCCAAGGGGATCAAGCTTCTTCCTCTCCCAGAACCTGAGTCCAAGTCCCCAGATCCCTCCTCCCTTAGACCCAGGAGTTCAGGTGCCAGCCCCACCCCCAAACCCCAGGACCCTGGAGTCTTAGACCTCAATCCTGTGCCTAACTTTCCTAGCCCATCTTCCTTCTTTTCCTGCCCAGTTCAACGTGGACAAGGAAGCAGGTGAGAGGCAAATCTATCACCGCTACTGCATGGAACGGGCAGCAGCCCATTGTGCTCATGTCTTCACTACTGTGTCTCAGATCACCGCCATCGAGGCTCAGCACCTTCTCAAGAGGAAACCAGGTAGGGCCTGGGTTGGGGTCCCTAGACATGAATGAGGTAGGCGACTCTCAATGCCAAGGCCAGTACCACTTTTAACAAAGAACTGAGAACTACAACTCCCAGAAGGCCTTGGGATTGGGGTGATGATATGTAAATGAAGCTGTCGGGCTCTGTATGCCCCAGAAGCTGGTGGGAGCTGTAGTGTCTCTGATAGTAATTTCTGAAATGATAAAATTCACCAATTGGCTTCTGAAAGGAAATGCAGGGTTAGTAGACTTCGTTTTGGGAAAAAAATTAAGTTGGAACTGAGCTTTCTTCCCAGATCTTAGTATCCATTCTCAATGAGTATGGAGTGAGAACTTCCATTCTCAGAAGGCCTTTGTCTGCCTAGCTCCACATGTTCCTGAAATTTTGTCCCAGGAGCTGATGGGGGTTGTAATTTTTCATTGACATGCTTTAATTTCTGAGGAGAGGAGATGGCTGGGTCCCTGAAAGATTTTTGAAGGTTGAGAGCGTATCCTGGAAGAAGCAAGCCATTGGGATACTGAATTATTCCCATTTCAGGGTGGGATAAGGAAAAAAAAAAACCAAAAAACCTACAACTCCTAAGTATTAAAAAAAAAAAGAAAGAAAGAAAAAGAAAAGGAGGCTTTCATTTATTCATCCAAAGACATTAATCTGAATGAAAACAAATGAAGAAATGAAACATGGGACCTTCTCCCCTAATCCCAGATATTGTGACTCCCAACGGACTGAATGTGAAGAAATTCTCCGCCATGCATGAGTTCCAGAACCTCCATGCTCAGAGCAAAGCTCGGATCCAGGAGTTTGTACGAGGCCATTTTTATGGGTATGTGGGCAGGTACCTAGGTCTTAAGAGAACAGGAGCTAGGGTCAAGACTCCTGGATCTGAGGAATCCTGGGGCAGCTAGTTCCTGAGTTCTAGAACAATGGGCTGAGTCCTGTAGGGATTGCAACCCACTCTGTGCGGTAGTGGTAATGGAGTTACCTTTCCCCTGCTTTTTTCCCATCTTGGGGACTTAAAGGAGCTCCCTATCTAAAGCAAAAAACAGCCACATCTCCCAGGAGGCCATGGTGCTTCTGCATTGGTTAAAAAATTCTTTTCAGCCAGGTGCCTTAGCACATGCCTGTAATCCCAATGGCTCAGGAGGCTAACACAGGAAGATCACATGTTTGAGGACAGCCTCAGCAGCTTAGTGAGACCCTATCTTAAAATAAAAATAAAAGAGCCAGGTGCAGTAACATACATCTGTAATCCCAATGACTCAGGAGGCTGAGGCAGGAGGATCATGAGTTCAAAACCAGCCTCAACAACAGCGAGGCACTAAGCAACTCAGTGAGACCCTGTCATTAAATGAAATGTAAAAAATGGCTGAGGAGGTGGCTCAGTGGCTGAGTGGCCCTGAGTTCAATCCCTGGTACCCCACCAAAAATTAATTAAAGTAAAAGAGGGCTGGAATACAGGCACTGTGGTGCATGCTTGTAATCCCAGTGGTTTGGGAAGCCAGTGCAGGAGGATTACAAGTTCAAAACCAGCCTCAGCTACTTAGTGAGGCCCTAAGTAACTCAGCCAGACCCTGTCTCAAAATAAAAAATTAAAACGGCTGGGATGTGGCTCAGTGGTAGAGTACCTGGGTTCAGTCCTAGTACTAGGAAAAAAAAATTGCCTTTGCTCCTGTAGCTTCTGGGGTTTGCATGTTCAAGAACAGGACTAGAGGGTGAGAGTCCTGGGCTTTATCCTGCTATATGACTTCTCTAGGCACCTGGACTTCAACTTGGACAAGACCTTGTATTTCTTTATTGCCGGCCGCTACGAATTCTCTAACAAGGGGGCTGACGTCTTCCTGGAGGCATTGGCCCGGCTCAACTATCTGCTCAGAGTAAGGCCCCAGCTATGAGGGTGCAAAGGGAGGATGCGAAAATGATTAGAGAACAGAGACCAGGCAGATGGGCTTAGGGAAACCCATGTTGGGGGAAGCAGGGTGTAGAGACCCAGAAAGATCAAAGGCTCAGTGGGGACAATGTCCCTGTCCTGTAATTCTTAGCAGGAAGAGGCACGGAGGGTTGTAGAGGTGCTAGGGAGTGTGATCCCAGCCTTCCTCCTTTTCCTCATCTCAGGTGAATGGCAGTGAGCAGACAGTGGTCGCCTTCTTCATCATGCCAGCTCGGACCAACAACTTCAACGTGGAAACCCTCAAGGGCCAAGCCGTGCGCAAACAGCTTTGGTCAGCAGCCCTCTCTGCTGGGGAGCCCTGTCAGCTTCACTCCAAGCCCTGAACTTTAGGCCCAGTGTTTCTCCGGGAGTCTTAGTTTTGTTCTCTGTAACATGATCAACTTGCCCCACCAGTTACTAGTGAAGTCACTGCTTAAGACACCTCCAGGGAGCAGTGACTCACACCTGTAATCCCAGCAGCTCAGGAGGCTGAGGCAGGAGGATGATCATAAGTTCAAAGCCAGCCTCAGCAACTTAGGAAGGCCCTAAGCAACTCAAGTGAGACCCTGTCTCTAGATAAAATATTAAAAAGGGCTGGGGAGGTGGCTCAGTGGTTAAGTTCACTGGATTCAATCCCTAGTATAAGGGAAAAAATCTTCCAACTCAGAAAGAATAAGAAGTCATGGGATGCAAGAGTGTAACAGCATGAGCAGGGCACTGATATCAACCCGGCAAGGTTCCGCTCATACCACTGACCCTCACTGGCTTTGTGAATCCAGGCAAACCACTGTCCCTCCCTGAGCCTGTTTCCTCCTCTGTAAACCCATTCATTCATTCACTGGCCATCAGATATTCACTAAGCATCTACAGGGTGCCAGGCCCTGTTCCTGCCAGTGACAGGGAACATAAGCTGTGAGCAACAGAGATGAAATCTCTGCCCTTATGGGGATCGTGTTCTAGAAAATCCTATGGAAAGTGTGCTATCAAAACAGTAAAGCAGGGGTTGGGGATACAGCTCAGTTGGTAGAGTACTTGCTTTGCATGCACAAGGCCCTGGGTTCAATCCCCGGCACCACAAAAACAAAACAAAAAACAGTAAAACAGGACTGGAATATGAAACAGGGTTGTGAGGACAGATGACACAGACTTTGCCACTGGGCAGAGACGATAAGCCTGTGTGTGTCTGGGGAACTGCATTTCAGGCATGGGAACAGCGAGTGCAAAGGCTCTGAGGACCTTTGAGAAATGGCAAGGAGGCCAGGGAGGCTGGAGCAGCATATCCTAGGGAGGCAGAGCTATCCAGTGGGGCTCTGTGCTGGCTTTGTTTGTGTGCCTGAACATACCTTTCTTAGAATCTTCTTCTTCTTTTTTTTTTTTTTTTTATAAAATGGGGCTTAGCATTGCCTCCTCCAGGCAAGTACAAGTCCTAATAATAGCTGACATTTCTGGAAGGCTCAGAGTGTGCTGGGCACTGTGCACTTTTTGTCTTGACCTCCTCAAGTCTTCATTGCTAACCTCTGAGGTTGGTTCTATATTTATCCTCATCTGATAGATGAGTCACTGAAGTCAGAGAGGAAAGGCCACCTGTCCCTGGCCACACAGCTGATACAGGGCATAAGGAACCCGAGCCTTCCGGGGCCTGTTCCCTGGTCCCCATCTTCCATCCTGGAGCTCCAGGGCATGGCTTTTCTGCCCAGACTTCAGTTTCCCCCCTGCCCCTAAAGCCTGACAATCAATGGTCTCTGGTGCTATCTGATGTTGTTACTCTGCTCCTTCCAGGGACACTGCCAACACAGTGAAGGAGAAATTCGGGAGGAAGCTTTATGAATCCTTATTGGTGTGAGTACCAGGTCCTTGCTTTGTATCCCTCAGGGCCCTGACCCCATCTTGTCACCTCATTCCCATGTGCATGTCCCCACTCACCTTTCAGGGGGAGCCTCCCAGACATGAACAAGATGCTTGACAAGGAAGACTTCACCATGATGAAGAGGGCCATCTTCGCCACACAGGTATGGTCTGGACCCCTGAGCAGAGAGAGCCATTTTCCAGCAGCCCTGAAGGCCTTTTGCCATGTTATTTCTGACCGCGGAGATTGCCGGGAGTTCTTCTTTCTTCAGTGATTCTTTATTGAGGGATCAATTCTGAGGTCCACAGAAAGGTGTGAGGTGACAGGTAGAACTTCAATTCCCAGAGGCACTTTGGGAAGGCTATTTTCCTGTGACTTATTCTGCAGGGCGAGGAGCAGTTGGGAGTTGTGGGGTTTGTTTTAGTTTTGACTTCTGGGAATTGTGGTTCCTTTGGGCTCCTGTTAGGGATGAGGAGGGGATTCTCATAAGAAAACTATAATTCCTGTGGTTAGTGGATGAAGGGTAAAAGGGACATTCAGAGAGTCAAGATGGCTGCAGAAGAGAAATTACAACTGCCAGCTGCCTGTGGGCCTTACTGCATATGGTCTCCCCCTCTGTCCCTAGACATTGCTGGGAGTGGTGGTTTTGTTGGGCCTCTTTGGGATGGATCCCAGAGATCAGCTAAAACCCCTAGCATTCCCTGAAGAACATTGAAAGCTCAGGAACCACTGTTTCTTATCCCATTGTCTATAGCTTAGTCCCCACACACCCCCAAGAGTTGTATCTTCTTTCATACATGAACTTGATGGAATTAGGTGGATGGAAAACCCTGGAGAGCGTTATCAGTTACAAAATGAGAACTACAACTCCCAGCATCCCCTGGAACTTTTCTGCAACCTGGATTTCCCTCACCACAGAGGATTCTGGGAGTTAGAGTTCTTTAATTCCTAGAGTCAAGGGATTTTGATACCTGTGGTTAGGGTTAGTGAGTCTGGGGACTGGAACCTAGACAGTTACATTACACAAACAGATATGAACTGCTTTTGGCCAAATTATAATTTCCAATGTCCTTAAGGTAGCACACCTTACTCAGACATTGTTGCTTACAGAGGGATGCTGGGAGTTGTAGTTTGTTGGGGCCTCTGGAGTCAGTAAGCTGAAGGTGAGTAGAAACTTTAAATGAGACATTATTCAACAGTTGCAAAGAATTATCCATCCCAGCAACCTCTGGGGCTTCCTAGTCATTCTGACTTCTTTTTGATGCTGTGACTTCTGGGAATTGTGGTTCCTTTGGGCTCCTGTTAGGGATGAGGAGGGGATTCTCATAAGAAAACTACAACTCCCAGCTGTCCCAGAAGTTTGCTACATTATTGACACAGTCTTTGTCCCCATTGACTGGGAAAGTTATATTTCAGTTTCTTTTAACGTCAGAGCCAAGAGCACAGAACCAGATAGTGATAACTCTCCATAGTCCCTGGGCATGTTGAGACTAACTCTGCCTCAAAAACAGCTGGGAATCACAGTTCTTTTGACTCATGGTAGTTAAGGAAAGACTCTTTACAGATAGAACCAAGAAGGAACCTACAAGTCTCTTGGGTGTGTTACCCCATGGCCTGCTGGGCATTGTGGTTTCCTTGGATCCCTGGGGTCAACATGGCCCATAGAGAAGTAGGAAGCCCTCTGTTCCTTCCCTGATCCTCGCCCCCCTTGTGGCCTCTACAGCGGCAGTCTTTTCCCCCTGTGTGCACCCACAATATGCTGGACGACTCTTCGGACCCCATCCTGACCACCATCCGCCGAATTGGCCTCTTCAACAGTAGTGCCGACAGGGTGAAGGTGAAGGCACTATCTAGGGGTGGGTTTGCAGGGGGAGGGGGTTGCACCCCAGTTGTCAAACTCCCAGTCGTCTAGTTTATCAAAGGCATCACTGTGTTTAGAAAAAACCCCTGGCTTCTGAGGCAAACAGACTTAGGTTTAAATCTTTGTCTTGTCAACCACTTGCTCTGTGGCTTTGGACAAGTGTTTTACCCACTCTGGGTTCCCAGGAAGTATTTACATAAGATGCTTGGGCTAAGCCCTTCTTTTTCACTGCCAGGTGATTTTTCACCCAGAATTCCTCTCCTCCACAAGCCCCCTGCTCCCTGTGGATTATGAGGAGTTTGTCCGAGGCTGCCACCTTGGGGTCTTCCCTTCCTACTATGAGCCCTGGGGCTACACACCCGGTGAGTGCGGCAGGTAGTGGGCAGCATAGTTCTGGGGTCTTGTTCAGATCTGGCATGATCTTGGGGCAAGGCACCAGCCCTCTCTGAACTCATTTCCCTCCTTTGCAAAACAGGAACAATGGTAACAGTCTGTTCTGCTACAGCATGATTTTTCGTAATGCAGTAGTTCATGTGACTCAAAACTAGATGACAATGTTAGTTTCAAGTGGATGTCACTGCTCTGATTTCCCCCAATATGCCAAATAACAGCACTGAGTCACAACTGACTAACAACTAAGTGCAGTACAGTTTTCTCCTGAGTTGCCTGTTTTTCCAGCTTATGGAGGTTTTAGGAACACTTCTACATAAGAATTACAATACTCCTCAAATATATTAAGGTTGAGTTGTCAAACAAGGCATAGTAAGTGCTCTGCACAAGAGATATTAACAGTGAGAAACCTTTTACTGCTGTCAAAACAGACTATAAAGCTGCTGCCTATAATCCCAGTGGCTCAGGGGGCTGAGGCAGGAGGATGGCAAGTTCAAAGGCAGCCTCAGCAACTTAGGCTCTAAGCAACTTAGTGAGACCCTGTCTCTAAATAAAATATATGTGGCTCAATGGTAGAGCAC